TCACGGCTGCTCAGCTCGGGCTGACTCGAACCACTGTTGCTCAGAGCTCAAACTCTTGAGCGAGCTCTTAACCAACTGAGCCACTCAGCTGGCCTCATCTTTATCATTTTTAATGCTACCCAGTAATAAATGTGTTTTGGAAAAATTACGGTTGTACAGATAAACAATTGTTTTTTTAATTGTATCTCTTTATAGCCGGAAAGGGGGAAGAATCTAACATACATCGAGTTATGCCCTGGGCTGGCAGCTGTTTTAGGCACTCATTTATAAACATCTTTTCATTTAATAAACCAGTTGAAAGGGAGGTATTAGCCCCATATTGCTGATGAAGAAACAGTGACTGTCTCAGAGAAGTAGTTGACCCAAAATTATATAGCCAGTAAGTGATAGTCAGAATTGTACTGTCCACAACGATATGCTGCTTCTTACACCAAATGACTTAGATATTTTCTGTAGATATGGTGACCAGAAATTCAAACTTGGAGTCTAACAAAGGATTTTTTTTTTATGGTAAAATGTAGTAATCTGGAGGATGGGTTCTATTTTGTAATATCTGACATTAGGCCTATTTCATAAGATTCAGGAATAAGGCCGTAGGGCTTTATTGACTAATGTCAATCTTACTAAACAACTAAAAATGCCAAAGTTCACTGTAGATTATTAAACATCTCGCATTCAGTGGAAAAGATTACTAAATTGTCAAAGGCCTGAAGAAAGAGGGACATTTGTTTTATTATTTGTGTCTATTCTGCAGTGGTACTTAAACCTCTCCCTATCCTCAGGAATGCCAGAGTTACCTAGAAAATTCCAGGCCAATTTTGAAATCCACTGCTTTTATCTGTTTGTCTTGAGGTTTTTGTTTTCTTTGCCATTACCTGATTTTGTTTTTGCCATAAGCAGGTCTAATTTGTAGACCAATGGTAGTTAGTCAGATGTGGACACCATGTCTTTTTCACATTCAAACAGAACCTTCAACGGTATTATCCATGTCGAGTTATAATTTTAGTTTATTCATATTCAGTTAGGAGCATGGCTTAGTTCCAAATTTCCACTAACAGGATTTCTACCTCAAGTGTCTCTCCATCAAGCAGAGACATTCATTGTACATAATTTATATCATTCTTCTAAAGTCCCATCTAATCAGTTATTCTGGATAGATTTGGGTTTTTTTGTTTGTTTTTTGTTTTTTTTAGCTGAGCCATCCTGCTACCTGTTGGCAGCTTAGCGGCTGCTCAGCTCGGGCCGGGACTTGAACCACTGTTGCTCAGAGCTCAAACTCTTGAGCGAGCTCTTAACCAACTGAGCCACTCGGCCGGCCCTGGATAGATTTGATACTGGTGGATTTTTTTTTTTTTAAGGAATTTTTGCTTTTTGTGTGTTCAGCTGGTATTTTTCAGAAGCAGGCTATATTATTATCCTTTGAGGGGGTGAGGTTTAGTTCTGCTTTTGTTTTATCTCATTTTTGCTTTTATTAAATTATGGAACAGATTAAGTTAAACCTAACAAATCTTAAGGAACCCTTTGCTCTGAGAGCTGACCAGGAGCCTTCAGTTGTGTCTTTTAGAAATCTCCCAATGGTCTTAGCAAGAGATCTTGCAGGACAAGCTTTAGGTTGTGAGTGTTAAGGCCTGAGCACCAGCTGAGTTCCATTTAGCAGTGTTTAGAGTGCTCTTCCCAATACCAGAACGTTGCTGAAGACTTGTTTTGTTAAACTGGGTCGCTCTCTGTTTATTTCTCACTGCTTCTGTTGCTCTTAAAACAAGCTTGATGATGGTTACAGTGACCACATGATTTATCTCTAGTGAGAACTCATAGCACGTGTTCTTTTTTTATAAAAAGAAAAGAAATAGAGGAAAAAGGAAATATCAAAATGCTTTCCCCCCTAATTATTGTGTTCCAGAAATGGGACTAAGTGGATCTTTGATCAGATTGCAGTTCCATGCGAACTTCTTTTTTTCTTCCTTTACCTTTCCTTTAAGGAAAGGTGTTTTCACACACAGTGATGGGAGTGGCCAAACGGTGTGTCTGGCAGAAGGATGTTTGAGGAGGAATCTGGGGTATATAGGTCATGTTTCTATTGGCATAGCATCTTCTAGGTGATTATGTCAACTATAACATAAAATATGTAAGCCTGGAAATAACAGGCAGAGGTAATAATGGCATCTCAAATTCCAAGTGATTGTGATATAGTCATTTATAATGGCAGTTAGAGATTTAAAAAGAATATATCAGGCTTTTAAAAATTATTTTAGCACTAACATTGACTTCGTGGGGAACGATGTAGGAAGTGCATGTGAGCAGGATGAGCTTGTGGTTCCCTTGGCAGGTGGTGACTACATTTGATAAGCTGTGGTCACAGCCACGTACCAAGGGCTGCATGTGGCAGTGCTGGGCTGGTGAAGTGCACGTGGCCACATGCTGTGTGAGATTACATTTCTCACACATATGAGAGTGCAACATGTTTTTAACTGGCTAACTCTAGTTCTAGACACTTCATTCTTCAAGTAGCTGTTGCCACAGATGCTCTATTCACACATATTTTGCCAACTTCTGAGGAGACTCTGTTGACAGTAATGATAATAGCTACCATTTATTGAACCCTTATATTGTGTCAGGTACTATTTTAAGTTCTATCAGTGTATTGGGTTGTCGGAAAAGTCATGATGCATTTTTGCATTGAAAAACAGAAAAATATGTCATGACTTTCCCGACAACCCAATATTTAGCTCATTTAATGCTCACAGCAGCCTTGTGAGGGTGGGAGCCACTTTTATCAGATAAGCAGCCTGAGGTTAACTAATCTGCTCAAGTCACACAACTAGCAGTAATTTGAGCCTGGCACTCTAACTACAGAGCCTGCACACTTAATTTTATTGTTCATTTACGTAATTTTTTTTTCTTTACATTTAATTTTTATGCTATGTTTCCTCCATGTTTCTGTGATTAATGCATATGTTCTGTAGACTAAAGACCCACATAAGGGCGATGATGGCTGGAATGTATTTGACCTCTTAGAAATTGTTGATAGGTTTTCAGTTCTTTAATGGGAGACTAAAATTGATTTAGAGTTAGAGTCCACCAATGTATTTTGTCCAAATGATGAATTATTCATTAAGTCTTCATTTCCCACCTATTGATATCTTTATTTTGCTGTTTTTATTTTCTGCTATATCTTGTCCATATCCCATTTTCCAGGTGAGTATACAGGGTTGTTGTTTTTTTTTCAATTGAAAAACAATCAATTGTTTTTTAAAACCCATTGCTTTTAACATAATTGCTTAAATTTTGCCTTTTGACACTTATTGAATAAGACATTTACAGTTAGTCACATCGTATGTGTTTAACTTATGCACTTAGCAAAAGAGAAAGAATAACAATTTAAATAACGCAGGTGACTGCATCTCCCTTCCCCCTGAGTGAGCATGTGCCCCGGAGTGAACGGGCAGTGGCATGAGTTTATCATCCCCGTGAGGTGGTTTTGGTTACTTTGTGCCACTCACTATGTGTTTCATTCTGCTGGGGATAGTTATTTTTTATACAACATGGTCCATAAAAACAGGCCGACAAGTGGGAAAAAGTAAGCTGCCCCAAAGCTGGACGAAAACTATCTGTGCCACGCTTACTGAAAGAGAATGTATTGGTCTCTAATAGGTTTTTCCAGGGTAATTTCAACGTATGTTCAATTTCTGCCTGTGTGTTTACTTTAGAATTAACTCCCTATTAAGATGTGATTCCTCTGTACTAAATGTCTGCTCGATGCCAAGCACTGTTACAAGAATGAAAATTTGGCTTTGTCCTTCAAATAATTCAGCATTCATAGCTAACAGTCAACAAAGGGGAATTGTAGGTAATAGAGAGAAAGAGAAGAGCATCATAAAATTAAATGGGCAAATGCTTATAAATTGCTAAAATATGACCCAAAATAGTTTATTTTCGATGGTAAGTTAACCTAAAAAAAAAGGAATTACCAAGTTTTTTGTTCGTTTTTTTGACATGGTTATATGTGTGGAAGTGACTTGCTGAACTGTCGGGGCTAAAAGAGCTATAAGCAGGAGTTTCTGTCTTGAAAAATCTCACAACTTTGTGCAGCTGTCACATACGCTCATTTTGACAGTGCCCACCTGAATATCATGCCATTTTAATTATACCTGTCCTTACAATGTACGTAATGTTTCCTTTTAGGTTTCTATATATACTGTGCCACAAAAGATTGGTCAAGTTCACCATGCCTTGGAAACAACTGTGAAGCTTCTTGAGTTTTATCAAAACTACTTTGAAATTCAATACCCACTTAAGAAATTGGGTAAGAATCAAACAGTACCTCTGATTTTTTTTTACCATTGTAACTTAGATTCATTTCGCAGGTGGTTTTTAGAAAAAACTCCTGCCAGAGTTATTGTAAAAGAAAACCAAGAAACACTGTTTATGTTTGAAAAATTGTGTTTGTTAAGATTATTTAGATTTCATGAATGTATTTGAACGTGGAGCTTAAAACAATTAGAAGTGGATGGGGCTGTTACAAAGGTGCTGTGTAAGTGGGAATTTGCTTAGGGTTCAGTCTGGAGTATCACTAATTCTAACTTACTAAGAAATTCCTGATTCAAATAATAAAAACCAAGTAATGGACACTAATGAAAAGCAAGTATTGTTCAGCATGGAGCTGGTGCTAGATAGGAGAGAGTTGACCCTGTACATTGTGCAGGAGTTCCTTATCTCCCTTTTGGGTAAGGGACAGAGAACAGTGACTCTGCAGGGGTTTGATCAGGTCTTCCTCTGCAGACAGACCAGTGAGGAGGAGACAGGGCTAGAGTAAGGAAGCTTCCATTCCTTAGGAGCGTAAAATGAGCTCGCTGCCTCCTGATCCACAGCGATGGAACAGTGGGTAAAATATTTTGGTTTCACCAGGGAGTGCCTTAGATGAGGAAAAGCTGATCACTTTTTTCCTGTTATGTCCAGATTTGGTGGCTATTCCTGACTTCGAAGCAGGAGCGATGGAAAATTGGGGTTTGCTCAACTTCCGAGAAGAGGCACTTCTGTATGACAATGTTACTTCTTCGGTGGTAGACAGAAAACTGGTTACTAAAGTCATTGCTCACGAGCTGGCGCATCAGGTATTAGCAACCAGGGCTGTGTGTTCTGTGTCCTATCTGCGGTCTATTTCAGGTCCTAGATTATTAGAATAGATTTGGGTGCTGATAATAATTCACCTTTTTATTCTTTCTTTCATAATAAAGTGATGCTTTTTTTGACAAAGTTTTCAGATGAAAATGCTATCTAATGTTTTTATAGGACTTTGCAGTTTATAAAGCGTTTCCACATCTTATTATCTTGCTTTCACAACTGCTCTAAGGTAGGTGATAATCCCATTTTACAGATGTGAAAATGAGACTCAGCTCACATAAATGACTTGCCCCAAGTCACACAGCTGAGAAGTGACAGCACAGGACCTTGAAGAACCTCATCTCATCAAGATCTCTCTCTGCCCCCCCCCCAACAATACACAGCTATTTTGCCTCTGACAAATGGCAGCTGCTTGGTATAACTTTGTGGCAGAAAAATCTTTTTCCTAAGTTGCACTCTCACAACTCTTGGACTTTAGTTGTTAGGACAAGATTGGTTTATTTATTCCTCTTCTGCTAGAACTGGATCTTTTATTCATTGGTGAGAGGGAGGGTACTGTCTGTATGACACAGAAAGACAGAAAGAAACTCACATGGGTGCATGAATGTCCCTGTCATTCCCAACACCTGGTCTCCCCTGTGCCCTCGAGGTGCTGTCAGTGTTGGGTATTGTGTGGGGGTGTCATGAGGGTGGGAGGACATGGAAAGAGAGGGACACTTTATGGGCAGTTACTCCCTATCTCAAACTCAGTCTGAATATGACTGTAGCCCTTGTGAAGACTGCATGGCAAGCTGGCATCTGAAGCATGACCTTGTTTACTCGCATAATGTTAGGCATGTAGACAAGGTGTCTTTTAGGTGATCTCCCCTAGGTCTGTTATTTCTGGGGCCACTCATCACTACTTGGGGCCATCGCTCTGGTACTTCTTAGGACTTACAAATTATCTTTGTCTGAACCAGGTTTTAAGGTAGTATTTTTGCAACATATGCTCTTGTAATTCTCAAAAGTGCTTTGTTTCAGTATCTAGTAACCTTACTGTTTTGCTGCTGGTTTGAGACCAGCCCTCGGCCAAACTTGACTAAATTGCAAACTCTGTTGCCACTCGTTACTTTAGGGATTTTTGAAATACATTTTTTAGAAGAGTCCCCTATCATTTTTGCCTTCTCCTTACTACCTCACAGAAGAACACATTTAAGATCTTTCTGATTTCACTTATTTATATACAAGCCAACTTTCTTAAGGAATGTTGTTTGACTGCTATTTGAATTATATAAATACTGGCCTCAACTTGGGTAACTGAGGAGAAACACAAAGTATGGGCTCTCAGACTACAGGAAAATCTCACATAGAAATTTATTTTTTAGTGTCATGGATGGTTGTAGATACAATGGAAAATAATCTTATGAACTTGATATTAGAAGGTAGAAGAATTCATTATCCAGGAAATCTCATTTTTGATGAGGTGTCTAAAAACTTTTTGGGTGTGTGCCCAGTACATAACGTGTTAAATGGATAAATATGCTAATTGTAGTCTTGCTTTTTTTCCCCATTCAGTTAAGGTAAAATCTTAAAATTTTTGTTTTAAAGTAAATTTATAAAGCTTTTGTAAGTCTTTAATTTGAATATAGTTTAACTATAATAACTATTTTAAGTAATTGTAATATAGTTATAGGTAATTAATCTAACAAATTATTAGGAAATTCTTGAGAATGTAAATATTGTGTTGGTTAGTAGTTTGTTTTTTCCCACAGTGGTTTGGTAATCTGGTGACAATGCAGTGGTGGAACGATCTGTGGCTAAATGAAGGTTTTGCTACTTTCATGGAGTATTTCTCTTTGGAAAAAATATTTGAAGAGCTCTACAGTGTAAGTACAGTGTTTATTAGGCCTACTTTGAATGCTGGGGAGGAGGGCGGGGAGTCAATCACATTTGCCATGTATTTTCTATGCATTTGAAGTAATGAAAATGTTTCTAGAAAGATACAATAAAATGGGCCCCTGTTACTGATATCTATATCTCTTGAGATTTGACAGTGAAAATTATGCTTTCATTTACTGATATATTTTATTGAAAGCTGAAAGATATGTTTTATTGAAAGCTGAAAGTGTATGAAATTATTTTACATTCATTTTGTTGTTAAGGTGAACACTTTAAATTGATATGCTGCATTTTATTTTTAATAGATGTGGCCCTTCTGCTTGAAGGAATTTAAAGTTGAAAAGTGTTTTTTGCAAAACAAAGCATTTTATCCTGTGCATAAAGAGAAAAAAAATAAGATACTTGGTTGCAGTGCAGTCTCTCTATTATCACTGTGATCATACTTGTAACAGTGAAACATATAGGTTGATAACAGACAAATAATTTGCCCTTTTTAGGTACAAACCGTATTTTGTCCCTTTTTGAAGACTTGGAACACCATTCTGTTACAGAGAGCATAATAATATGGTCTCTATGTGATTAGACTCTCTGGAAATGTTTCCTATGCTTAGAGATATTTGGACACATTAGGCCAAGATATGACAGATACTGCCAAGTAATTTAAACAATAGGTGGGAAAGCATACAGATCCCTTTCAACCCCAAAATTCTGTGACTTCCTATTAAACTTCCTGGGTATATGATCCAAGACTGCTTCAAAACAGGAGTACTCTTAGAGCTTTCAATCTTAAATTTTTATATAGGGCATGTTAAAAAATTTCAAGTGGTAGAAGGAACTCATGTTTAGCTAGAAGTCTATACAAGGTATTTTAAATCAGTGTTTTAATTAAGCACTGAGATACTGAGTTTCACCACTTGGTGGTGCCCAGAATATTTAAAACCTTCTAATATGTACTCTAGGGGAGTTCATCTGCTGAGCTTTCAAAGAATTCTTTCTGTTTAAGGGTTATATTTTATTTCAAATGAAATAAAGTTAAAGGAAATGTATGTTTTAATGAAAAAGATGGACTATATATAAGAAATCAACTTAAGGTCCAGTTTTTATTAAGGTCAGATTTTATTTTAAAAGTATACACATCTTTTTAGAATATTCATCGTGAATATCAGGATTTGTCATTTGATTGCTTTAGTAATAGATTCTTAATTCATCCTCATGCTGTTGTTTAGGAAACACTGTTTTTCATATGGCCAGGAGGTTATAATTTTATTTTTAAATTTAAGGAATTTGCATGAATGTCACACTCTATATTTTCAAAAGCTTATGTTCTGAAGTATAATAAAGCTGGTTATTTTTTATAATGACCTTAAGCAGTAATTTGTCTAACTCATATGAATAATTTCTGTACTTGCCTTTGATACCGTTCATGATTTCCTAATCTGTTTCATTTTTTGCTAGTATGAAGATTTCTTAGCTGCTCTACTTAAAACCATGAAGAAAGATTCCTTGAATTCATCTCATCCAATATCATTATCATCGGTTCAATCTTCAGAACAGATTGAAGAAATGTTTAATTCTCTGTCATATTTTAAGGTATTGCAATGCACACAAAAAGTACCTAGAGTAGGTTTCAAATTAATTTCGTATGTGAGCAAGCTGTATGATTTCGATTATTTTAAAGATAAGATGAATATTATTTTCAGGTATCCTGTTATACTTTAAGATGTTTGCTTCTGTTTAAATCCTGGTCTTAACGTTTTCTGAGTTATTCTTTCTCCATCTCTTGTTTATGTTCTCTTACTGGTATTCTGCGCAGTTAACCAGATCTTACAGCGATATGTCTTTTAAAGTTAGTTCACTCTTTAGATCTACAGATTGAATATGTCCAGAGAGGGTTCTAAGTAAGCCCTTGGCTGTGTCATTCAGGATTGAGGTATATTCCAAAGTCAGAATTGCCAAAACAAGTAAATAAAAAGAGATTTTAAGGATTGAAGATTAGATTGCAGCATCAGAAACACACACCCCAGGTTTGGGGGTGAAGCAAAACCAGAAAGCTAGAAACCTGATTCAGATTACCATAGGTCAGAAGAATGGAGATATCATCCACAACACTTCTGTTGGGAGGGAGCAGTGAATGTTATGCCTTCTTTGCCTGCTTACTCTGGCTATCAGATTAATTGATTAATAAATTAGATTCCTGGGTTAGACAGAGAAGAAAACACACAAAACATGTGAGATACAGTCCATGTCATCAAGAAATTCAAAGTTTAGTTGGTGGGTACTTGTGAAGCAGTAAGAAATAATACATGTTAAATGAATGGTACAGAGTATTTTTGCTGGGATTATGAAGAGAACTTTTTTGGAGGAAAACGGAAATTGAAATGAGTTAAATAAGAATATAAATATAGGTTAAGAGGAATCGGAAGAGTAGAGTAGAGCAGGAATGGGACGATGAGTTGTGCAAAGAAAAAGGAATACTATGGGCAAGGAATTTTTGTTTAGGGAGTAGACGTTTGCTTGCAGCGGAAGCTGAATACGGTAGAGCAGGGGAAGGATGAGAAAGGTAGGTTGAGGCCCAATTGTAGAAGGTCCTCAATGCCATCAGGAATCTGGACCTTTTTCTGTAAGCAACGGGAAGCTTTAGAAAAGTTTCTATCAGAGGAATGACTTGATCAAAGTTACCATTTAAGAAAATTAATTTGTTTCAGTTTATAAAATGGATTTAAGTGGAGAGAAACCTCAAGTCAGCAAATAGCTGCTGAAATGGTAAAAGTTTGAAATTACAAGCTTGACGCTTATACTTGGTCACCCCAAGCACTTTTTCCTTTAGCTGATTTAGCTTTGTATCCTTTCATAGCAATTAATCATAGTGGTGAGTATGACCATATACGGAGTCCTCCTAAATGCATCATTAAACCTGGGACATGTGTTGGGGTCCTCCACACAGATTGAGATGAGAGATTGCTCGGCGTTTTCAAGTACCAGTGACGAGCCCATGTGTCCAGAGTGGAATAAGCAGAAGGGAAAGTAGTTGATGAAGTAGAGGGATTATAGGGGACCAGATCATGGTAGGGTCTAATAGGACATAGTAAGGACCTTGATTTTATGCTAACTGAAAGGAAAAGCCATTTGAGTAGGGAAGTACCATAGTATGACTTATTTTTTGAAAAGATCATCACTTAGCCTTCAACTTCACCAGGAGACAAAATGACTAGTTAGGAGGCTGTTGTAATAGACCAGTGATAAGAGCATGGAGGCTAGACTAGGGTGATAGTAGTGAGGTGTGGTTAGATTTGGACTATATTGTAAAGGTTAACCCAGGAGAATTTGCTAATGGGTTAGATGTGAAATGTAAGAAAGTAGTCAAGGATGACTTCAAGATTTTTGTCTGAAATACTGGAAAAATGGAAGTTATTTGCTGCAGTGGAGAAGACTATTAGAGGAGTACATTTGGGAGAAGATAAAAAGTTCATTTTGGGGGGTAACTTTGAGATGGGCAAATGGAAATACCGAGCAGGCAGTTGGATTTGAGTCTGGAATTCAGAGGGGAAGCCTGGTTAGATACGTACATAAATTTGGGAGCCATTTAAAACCCCTGGAGTTGAGATGAATTAGGAAGAAAATTTAAAGAGAGAAGAAGAGGTCTGAAGATTAAATGCCAGGGAATATCAAAGTATAATCCTTGGGAAGATGAAGAGGATCCAGCAGAAGAGACTAAGAGGGATGGCCAGTGAATAGGGGGAGGGAGACTCAAGAGTGGTGTCCCAAGGCCAAGGGCAGAAGGACTTTCAAGGAGTGGGTGATCAGTTATCTTAAATACTGCTTACTAAGTAGGTTGATAAGATGAGCCTGAGAATTGATATTGATTTGATGCCATGTAGTTCACCTTGAAGTGACCTTGAGAAAAGTATTTCCAGTGGAGTGATGGTTGGAAGATGGCTCAAGAGAAAATGAAAAAAGCGCAAATGGACATGGCCAGTCAGTGCAGATGACTCTTTTGAGGAGTTTGCTACACAGGGAAGCTGGAGGAGTCATGGGATTAAGGAAAGGAAGGGCATGTCTTATTTGTTTAAAATGAGGATGTTACATAGTTTTTGTTTGTTCATGGGAAGGTTACAGTAGAGAGGGAAAGCTGGTGATGCAGAGGAGAAGGGGAACTTTGGGAAAAGAATAAGTACTGAAATTTATAGAATAACACAGTGAAGTGTGATATAGAAATAAGAGAGTAGTAGGTATTAAATTCAGTTATATGTATATGATAATCTTGATGACTTAACATTGCTGCATTTTTATCAGAAGTGAAATTTATTCAAAAACCATTTGAGTGTCTACCTAGTACTACTAGGTATTGTTTTAGTTATTGAAGTTGAGTTTTTCAGTTTTTCCCTTTAACGAGCATACAGTCTAGAAAAGGAAATGTATATGCACAGGGTGCCAAAAAATGTATACACATTTTAAGAAAGGAAAACTGTATGAACATTATAATACTCAATATATACCAACAACAAAAGGTGAATACAAGTCATGTTTGACTTCTGCAACTACAAGAGGTTCTCAAAATGGTTACCATCAGCGTCCAGACACTTCTGATTACGGTGAACTACTGCTTGAGCCACGTTGACCCAAGTGTCCACTTGTATACATTTTTTTGGCACCCCCAGTATATATGGCAGATACAAGAAGTGATACAAATTTCTTTTGAAGATGGAGAAATATAATTTCTATCTCGAATCAAGGAAGGCTTTATGGAGGAGGTGGTTGTTTTAAGACTGGAAATGATGACATGTGCATCAGTGAATATCGTGTGGTCTCAATAGCTGCATGCCTGATTCTGAGTTATTAGTGCATACTTATTGCCCTACACATTCATTAGTTCCAAACATATGGAAAGTGACTCTGCAGGAAGAAGAGAGATCTAGCTACTTCAGCAACATGATATGCTAAAATTAGAAATTAATGTACTCCCTAGCAGAGAGACTTTTGAGAGCTCTGCTAATTTATTTTCTGCAACAGTTTACCCATGGAATTCAACTGGTACTCTAAACAGTGGGGATAGGGGCAGGGATGCCACAGAAACTTTGGCAGGCTTTTCTATTAAAAATATATTTATAAACACTTAGCTTTTAATGCTAACACTGAAGCAGTGAGTAACTTACAGACCACACAAAATGGCTCATAGTAGAATTAGTTCACTTGGGAATCTACTCCATTAATTCTTTTTCAAATCCCTTAAAATAATTTTTAAGACAATTTTGAACATAGTCCACATCTGGTTGTACTATACTAAATAACAGTGTGTTATCGTTAGGGTCTATATATGAAAATAAATGCTTGGAATGATTATATTTTGAATTTTAGGTTCTCAATTCTATTGTATTCTATTACTGTCCTCCCTTTCTCACTTTTTTTTAAAAAATAGGGAGCGTCTCTCTTGTTGATGCTGAAAACTTACCTTGGTGAAGACGTATTTCAACGTGCCGTTGTTCTTTACCTGCGTAAGCATAGCTATGGATCCACTCAGAGTGATGATCTGTGGGATAGTTTTAATGAGGTACGTGACCTGGATATTTTATTAAGCTTTTAAAGTAAGAAGAGAGGAGTTCTCTTGTTTATATTTTTATCAAGTATGTAAAGAAGCTGTGGTACCAAGGATAGTTACTTAAGAGAGAGGGGATGGAGCTTAAAATATAAATATTTATGAATAGAGCACAGAAATAAAAGTCAAGAAATGAAAGTACTAGTCTTAATTGCCAAAAAGTTTTGTATGGCCCGTGTAACCATTTTTATTCCATACCTTAAATCTCCATTCCTACATTATAGGAGTTGTCTTCTCCGAATCAATGTATATCACTGTATATTACTGTATTTTCATGATTTGATTTTTCTTTCTTAAAACATCTTTTTCTATTTGTATGCTTTTGCAGTTTGCCCACCTCCTATTCATGATTGTTTCCCATACCCTACACTGAGCATCCTCCTGTCCTTTGGGCCCATGTTCCTCTAGAGTAAATGATACCTCCCAAGCAGGCTGCCATGGGCTGCATACCACCCTTCCATTGTTTTGGTGTTTGGATTTTGTCGAGCCTGCAAATATTCTAACAAGTAGTGTAATTAGGTACAAGTTATGCTTTACTGCAGTGCCTGAAGCCAGCCCGCATCGTGCATGTTTGCTCACTGTTTAACCCTCACCAGCATTTGGGTTTGTTGCCCTGATCAAGATAACGTTCTGAATGTATAGATCACAGACACATTTGAAAAATTGATGAAAGTTCTGGACATATTCTCCAGAAAAACTGCATATATGCAAAATATCACACGGTTTCCAAGTTTTATAGACCCTGGGCTAAGAATCCCCGGTTGGATCTTTTCCACACACTCTTTCTGCTTCCTTGCCGTATCTGAAACCTGCGATTTCCAGCTGCTAACCCTTTTGCCCAGAAGGCATACCCTCTCTTCTCTCTGAGTTCGTTCTCTTTGAGAAGGGCGATCAGTTCTTATTACCTAAGAGTTGCTTCCAAATCATTGCTTTTCTTCTTATCATATAGTAGCATTTCAATTGAAAGCCAGATTATTTACTTAATACTCATTATATTATCTCCTGACATTTGGAATATATTTCTGCCTTTCTCACTGACTTCAACTTTTGCATCATACTGTTTTCCTATCCCAACATAGTCCCTAACATTACCCTCGGGTTTTTCAGCACCCACATCAAATTATGCTCTGGCCTCTTCATTTCAGTTATGTTCCAAAGATGCAGAAGTTCCTTGTTTGGGGGCAAGTTTGTTTCCTTTCAAACCCCTTGTCCAGAAATAAATAGGTCTGAGCCATGAAAAATGTTAGGTTAATATCACAATGAATTTGGGAAGGTTTGCTCCATCCTTTTCTGCTTTAAATAAATAGGGGTTTGGCGATTGGTGGAAGGCCTGCCATAGCGTAGTGACATTACCAAATATTTTAAGTACTTGATGATTTTAGTTGCTTGCAATTCAAATCCATATGTAATCTAGAAAAATAATTTGTCATAAATTTGACTCGCCTGCTTTAAAGAGATAGTTGTTTAAAAATTGCTTCTTAATCATTGATACTAGATATCTTAGGGATATTGGGCTTTAGAGGGTCTTTGAACCTCTGACACCGGATTCTAGATTGTGTAGATAAGTTCATATATTATCCAGGACAAAGGGCCTGTTACCATCAAAGAAGTTGACCACTGTTGTCTAGAGAGATTTAAAAGTCAAGACAACTTACCTGTTTATATTTTGCTCTTCTGCTACTGCTGTTGTTCCCTGGCATTCTTACAATATTAGTTTTTGCAAAGAGGAATTTTAACATCTAAGGAAGCAGAGGGTCTGGAGAATAAAGACAAACCTGGACTAGCTGAGTGACAGGAGTGAGTAGCAGTGCTTCTGACTCCAGACTGTATGTCATTATTCATACCTTCACGGTAGTATTGTGACCTGAAAGAGCACTTATATGTTCTTACATGTTCGTGAACACTCGGTTGATACTGTATCTGCTGCTTTTGCAACACAGTGTGGCTCTCTTACCCTCTTTAGTTACCACTTCGTTCTGTTCCAGGTTGCTTTCCTGTTAGCACTTGCTCATTTACCTAGATTAGAAATGGAAATTCAACTCAGCGCTCATGCTACTTTCTTACTATTAACACTAAGTGTAGCCTTCACAGAACGTGGTAGGGAAAGGCAGAAACTCGATTTTAAACTGTTTATCTTTAAGCAAAAACAATTTATTCTTTTATTTATAGGTCACAAACAAAACGCTAGATGTAAAGAAAATGATGAAAACTTGGACCCTGCAGAAAGGATTTCCTTTAGTGACTGTTCACAGAAACAGAAAGGAGCTTGTTGTACAACAAGAAAGATTCTTTTTAAATATGAAGCCCGGAGTCCAGCCTTCGGGTGAAAGGTACATGCCCTCTCCTCTCCCTGCTGTCTCTTTTGTACCCTCAGGTTAAAGTATTTTTAAATGTTTTGGAATCATAGCTTCTCATGAAACCTAACAAGATTATTATCCCTTTCTGGGAATACCCTGAAAATTTTCATCTTCCTGCCAAAAAAAAACAACCCAAAACCAAACACATAAAAAACACCAAATTATGTGGAACTCACTGAAATATTGGAAAGAGTAATAATCTTTCAATATTTTCTTTTTACAGCTACCTGTGGCATATTCCACTAACCTTTGTCACTGAGGGAAGAAATTATTCAAGCTATCAATCGGTATTACTGGAAACGCAATCAGGTTTGACTATAATTAATACTTTTCTGATAAGAAATTGGAAACAGCATATTTTAAAAACATCTGACTAAACAGAAGAGTTTATCCTTTCCAGCAGTCACACACTCTCGACTGGTTTTATGAGGCACCAATATATGATGTGACTAAAGTGAGACTGAGTCAATATATCACAAATAAAATTGGTCTTTCTTAGTCATATGATACAAGGTATAAAAAGTTGCACTGAATATGCTAGCAGTCCTAGAAAATAGCAAATGCCGTATTTTTATATCCTAGAATATACTTTACGTTACAAAGTAAGAATTAGAGCAGTTTCTTAAAGTGTGTTCGGCTCGCTGCTTTCTAGGGGTGGGCTGGGCAATGAATGGCATTTTAACAAGCACCCTAGATAATTCTTATGCATAATAAAGGTTGATTCATGACCGAGATTTATAGTAAACAATTACTACAAAATGTCCTGTAGACATAGTATACATTTTTTGGGTAATGAAAAAAATGGGGTAAGAAATGATGATTCCAAGGAGGGGAATAATAAAATGTAAAGATTGTGTATGCTGACCCACAAGGAGTCTATAAAAAGCAATTGAAACATAGTTTCTGACCGTCTGTTAAAGACCTCTATGAATGCCACGTAATGTATCCTCTTAATTTACATCCTGAGAGAACATGAGGCTCTTGGGCTCTGTAGGAACCATTAGTGAGACTTTAGATTTATGGAAAGGGGACATTTCTTGTTTGAATTTGGACCTGGTGTTCAATCCTGTATTTTTGAGGGTAGTGTTGCTTAGTGGTTAAGGGAACAGGCTTTGGAACTGGATTGCCTGGTTTAGTTGTATGACTTTAGGTGAGTTTCATGGCCTCTCAAGAGCCCCATTCCCTCAGCTGTCGAATGGATGTGGTGATTATACTTACTTTGTAGTGTTATGATGAGGATTAATGGAGTTCATTTATATGAAACTCCTAGAACAATGACTGGCACGTGTTATGTGCTATATAAGTGTTAGCAATTGTTATTAATGTTATTATTGGAAAAAATATTTAAACGTAATATATCCGCATTACATAAAATCTAGAAAATGGAGAAAAATCTTATCAGCGTATCATAACTACTCTCATGATTATTTCTTTCTAGTCATTTTTCTTTCTAGTCATTTTAAAAGGTATCTTTTACTTAGTTGATATTGTGTACATGTGACTTTTATATCTTGGTTTATTTTTAGAAGAAAACTATATACAGTAATTGACTTAATCTTTCCTTACTGTTGGACACTTGATTCACCATTTGTCTCTCTAAAAAAAAAAAAAAAAAGGACTCTTAAATGTTTTTTTCATTATTTTAACTTTTTCATAGAAATGCTTCTCAAAATGAAGACTGTGTTACCTTTTGTGACTTAACACATATTTCTAAGTTGCCCTTCTGTTGTGTGGTAACACCTTATAATGCCAGTTGAAATACATGAGCATACCAGTTGCATTACAGTTAACTAGAGTGAAATGTTACAGCAATCTCATTATTTAAAATGCTAAGAACAGTTGATGCCATCATATCTTTATAGCATAGCTGGAGATATCTCGCAAGGAAGGGCTACCTCCTTTAATGGCAACAAAACTCTACACTTCATGTGGGCCCTGGAAGGATAATCTCTGATCTAAAAGAGAACAAATAATCTCATTCAATTTGAAAGGGACCAATAAAGAAATTTTGCAAATCTCCCGGTAGTATTATATAAGTTTTGGGTAATATTAGAAGCAATTGGACAATAAGGAAACTGCTTTTATTAGCCTTTTACTTTTAGCTCATTTTATATGTGAGCTTCTTAAACTCTTTTTGAGATTCATGTTCCAAAGTCTAGCTCGTATTTTTCTGCTATAGCTTTTTCTTTCTAAGCCCTTACCTGGCACTCTATACTTCCATTGCAAAAAAGTTGTTTCAGCCACTCAAACATGCCATTCTTCCTCTTGTCTCTGGGCCTTTGCATGTGCTGGTTTCTCTCTTGGAAGAACATGCCTGCCTCCCCCACACTTTGATTTATTTCTATTCATTCTTCAGATCTTAACTCACTCATTGCTTGCTCCAGAAAGCCTCCCCTCACCCCAAGACAAGTTAGATGCCCTACTTATGTGTTTTAATAGCATTCTCTACGTCTCTACTTTTAATATACTATAAGTACTGTTTCACTTATATCTCTCCTCACGTTAGCTGTATCCCCCATTGAAGATAAATATCATGGCTATATAAATCACTTTTGCAACCGTAGCACCCAGTAGGCACACAAAAATGTATTGAAGTAATAAAGTTTAGTCTATAATGAAGTGACTCAATTTCAAATCTCACTGTAAAAAGCTCTATGAAAAGAGCATTCAAAGCCTGATGAAACGATATCTTCTGTCTCCCTTTCATTTGAAAATATTCTTGGTTAAGGGGAATATGCAAAATGCACTATCATATAGTTGATTTAGTCTAGAGCTGGAAGTGAGCTGATATATGATGGAAGCAGTGTCGGTTCCTCCCTCTTCTCAGCTGTGATATTTACCTTGATGCTGCTGCTGCTCTTTTAGTTCCTGGCAGTTCAGGTTTTGAGAGTCCACACTGAAAATGTTCTGTCCTCACAAAAAAAATGTTTGGCCCTAAGGACACTTGGGACCGCTTGGTTCCTGATGCTCCAGTGAGAATCACTGTTATTTTAATTGCGTTTTAAATTTTTTCTGTTCTCAAAAGAAATGTAGCAGGAGCAATGACTACAGAGGCTATTTTTTATTTTTATTTTTTT